GTCCACATCACCGTCATCCAGAACAACATCCGCCATATCGACCTGCAGCATCGCTGAAGTCGGCGTTAGCGTTCCCAGACCCGAAGATGTCGACGGAGAATTCAACGAGGACATCCCAGGGGATCCCAAGCCAGATGCTGACGCGGAAGACAAGGGCTTCCCTGTCCCACTCCCGTTCCCGCTTCCTCGATGCCCATGCTTGGACTGCGCCTCCACTCTCTTAACCAGCTTGTCAATATACTCCTTTGCGTACTTTTTGATCTTGTGAATCTTTTCATCCGAAAGCGAGTCCAGTTTGTTCTGTTGGTACGCGGAAGATTTCTTTTCGCGTTCAGCAATCTTTTCTGTCAACTATATGGAACACAGCGAAAAAGTTGAAAAAGATTGATTAGAACTGAGCTATATAAAAGAAGGAAATGGCTGACCTCCTTGGCATGCTTCTTAAACCTCTCATGCCCAATCGTAGACGCATGCTTTGACATGGACTTGACAACAACCGGACCGATCAACTTGAGCAATCTCTTTTCTTTCAACACCTCCTTCTCCGGATCCTTCGCCCCGGTGCCCTTCTCCTTCCTCCTCTCCTTCTTTTCTCTATCCTTATCCCGCGGTCGCTTCCTACTCCCACTCCCACTCCCACCCCCATCGCCCCCCTTCCCCCGCTCCTTCTCCTTCTCCTTCCTCGCCCTTCTCTCCTCCTCCTTCTTCTTCTCTGCCTCCGCCAACTCCCTAACCCTCCTCTCAGCCTCCTCCTTATCCGCCTTGGCCCGTTCAATAATCGCAGCCAGCTCAGCCTTCTCCATCGCCTGTATCTCCAGCCGACTAGGCCCCTGCGCGACGCGGATGGGCTCTTGCGGAGTAGACGGAGTCTGGTCCGCGTCCGGAGCCGGAGCTGGGCGGGGTCGTTTTGCAGGACGCCATTCGTTCGCGGGGGGTATATGATCGGCGTAGGAGTATCCGTGTCCGTGGGCGGTGTTTGACGGGTCGGTGGTGGTTATGGGGGTCGGTGAAACTGCAGGTGAAGGCGATCGATTGAGGGCATCCGGGTTGTCGAGCTGCATTTGGGAGGGGGAGGGGGAGTGGGCAGGGAAGGAAACGCGATAGTGAGTTTGGTGCTCAGAGTGCGAAGAAGGGTTTGGATGGTTACCTTTTCCCGTTTCGGTCGTCTCGGTATTCGATACGAAAGTTCGAGGGTGTCCCAATGTGAGATGAGCTACAAGGCGTACTCGTCAATAACGAGGAGATTTTGAGCCAAGAGTGCGAACTGACCTTCTCCGCCCAGGTTTTCACAGTCTCATCCTCCGTCTCTGCACATGCTTTGACAGGAACAGATATTTGGGAATCATCGACCTTGTTCCGTGCGATGAGAGGCCACGAAAACATGCATTCGAGAGCCTGTGGTGGGAAAAGAAGATGAGACGAGGACGAAAAATTCAACAAACAGACACACCAATGCAATGACCTCCATATCCTTCATATAATCCTCCAAAATATTTTTCATCAGACTGAACCCACGCAGACGCATCACCTGACGCAATGCAGCTTGATCTTGCGTGATCTGTATAGAAGTGGTTGATTTGAGAAATGAGGTAGCGAAAGGAGAGAGAGAGAGATGCTTACCTTTAGCCTCAACAACAACTTGTACAACATCTTCTTGCTTTGTGTCTGCCGTATAGCCTGAACGACCTTGGGCACTTCTTTCTCCGTGACCGGCTTCATGAGAGGCATAAAGTCTGGATCGTCAATCTTCTTGCCCTTCTTCTTCTTCGTGCCCTTGTATTCTCGGAGTTCGGCGTCATCCGTGATGCCAAGTGCTAGGGAGAAGTTGGGGAAGGGTCAATTGTTGGCTCAGAGGTGAAGGTGACGGATGGGCTTACCATCGAGATAGAGTTCATCCATAGTCGAGATATCCGTCTCTGTCTGCGTCTTTCCACCGATGAAACCAACACAGTTTGGCTCGCCGCAGTAGCATATCTGTGCTTGGTGACTGTTCAAGGGTCAGCAGGAGCTAGAAAAAGCGAAGGCGAGAGGACTCACCCATATCGATCGACATTATAGTTAAAAGTAAGCTCCTCGTCCTTCTTGATATTCCTCTTCGCAAAGATACCCATTCGAACGTGCTCGTCGATGGTCCACTTGGCGACATAGCAGTTGGGACTACAGCTATGGTTGGCGAAACGGCCTATTCCGCCGGATTTTGTAGCGTCAATGAACTATAAACAGCCAAGGTCATCAGAAGGCGGACCACGAGGCTCAAGTTGGAAAGACGCACCTCGTCTTTTTGCAGCATCATAAAATAAAAGTGCTGAATCCCCTCGTTTCCATAATCTCGCATTCGTTTCTTGAACGAAGCGTTATTGACCACGTCTCCTACATACTCGTATATAAAAGCGTCTCTACTCGACCGAGGTACAATGAGTCAGAAGTTGAAAAAGGTTTTTTTGCACTGGGTCAGAGACGCACTTTGGGATATCCCCCTCCGCCCTCAGCCCAAATCCCTTCTTTTCCGTCATTACAATCTCTATAGGTGCATACTGCTTCTTTTGAAACCTAGATTGAAGTGAAAGTGAGGACGGATGTAGAGGAGCAGCAGGACCTTGGTGCCACGAACCGCTGATTCTGACAGTACGATTTACACCTACAATAACCGGGAAGACACTCTATCTGCGTAAGACGATTTATACAGTCTGAACCGTGCCCACAGGCAGCTTCCGGCTCATCATAGTCTGTTCGACGTAAAAAAGTCAAGGAAAAGATTCCTACGTTGAACTGCAGTGTGTCCCTCAAGTTGGCTTACCTGGGTCAAAATTGCAGTCGCACATCATACTCTCTTCGAGTTCTCTGACGCGGCCAAGAGTTTTATACTGATACCAGTTGTCAGAAATCTCTGTAAAAGATTTCATAGCCACATCCCGGGCGACCGGAAGATGGCTAATGAACTGAGTAGCTGCAGCGGTGGTCATGGTTTGTTTTCTAGAATTAGATAGAGGACCTGACGCTGGCAAAGGGGGTGTAGACGTCTTTGAGGACGAGGACGAGGAAGCAGACATATTGTTGTTGGGGGAGCGTGAAGGACCTTCATCGTGGTCAAAGATAGACATTGGGATGTAATTTAGTCCGCTACCACCACCATGCCCCATAAACGAAAACGAGACGACGACGACAGCATTGACGTTGAAATTGTCCCTTCGCCATCGACTGGATCAGTCGGTCCTCTGTTGGGCATGTACTCAAACCCTTTCATATTTTGTAACGTTGGCCTTACGATCCCCTACCAGTCAGTTTTCCAGCTCTTCATCCGCCAAAAGATACTCCCTTCAAATGCTATGCACGCAATAAAGAGGATGCCAGCGATGTCAGTATGGTCGTTGGCGAAGCACCCCAGGTTGAATTCATATCAAACGAAGAGGAAACAAGACGAGTAGCTGAACATGGCTGTCGGTGCGTTGCGGCGATGACCTTTTTCCACACAATTTTTTCTAATATACTGCCCTCAGATATCTCCTCGCCGTCCGCGACCCTAAAACTTCAAAATTAAAAATTCTTTCTACTCCGAAATCCCCCTTCATTCTCACTCGAACTGTAAAGGCTCTCAAATCTATACCACCGGCCGATGAACCTACGCCTTTAGCCTACCACGATGCTCGAACGGCTCTGGGAGAAACTTTTGGCACTAAAAAAGCTAGAGCGGCTATTCGTGCTCATGAACGCAATCGCGTCGATGTTGGTGCGATGGAGGGAGTGATGCAGCATGTGGTTGAAGGTATCGATGAAAAAGCAGAGGGTTTGCTGACCAAAGGTAATTCATCCCCCTTTTGATCTCACGGTTTAAGAGCTGAGTCGCGGTGTAGAGGAAGCAAAGGACCTAGCAGACTCTACGCGTCTTATTCCGCCATTTTCTGCCACAGCTACTGAACCAGGCGACGTGTATCCGTTGAACGAAATAATTCCGGATGCAGAGTTTAAGGCTCTCAATGCCACTCCGGTAGAGGAGAATCTCAAGAGCAATAATCCTGCTAGCATGCTCCCCTTCAAGTATTGTAAATGGGTTAATAATCACCTCAAGCGGCTGGGTCAAGATGGAGAGAAGAGCAAAGCCCGGAAACGAAAACTGTATGTTTTTTCGTTCGTTTCCTTAATTTTGCAAACGCTGACTCTACCTAGAAAAATTCTCCTCTACGTCTCAACGATGTTCCTCTTCCGTCGAGTCATCAGCCATCCAAAAGGCATGGACAAGGATACCGTTTACGAAAAGATGAACAACGTCCCGACTATCGTCGTCGACGGCCTTCTCTCTAGGTTTACCGAAACCACTCGAGGATCTTCGGTGTACGTGAAGCATCTCCTCTCTCCTAGGGCTTGATCGCTAACGCGTTGATATCCAGCCATCTATATACCTCCGCCATGTCTACAAAGTTCCTAGCCTATCTCCTCGCACTCTGTCTTCGCGTAGACGATTTTGCCTCGAATCCAAAAACACTAGCTGACGATCTTAGTATGCGAGTGCAGGAGTGCGTCTTTCTCCCCTCCCCTCCCCTCCCTTCTTGACCTCTCATCTAACACGCCTCTCCTTCTCCGCTCTTTCTCTCCAAACACTTTTCGCACCCCACATTTAGGATCCAAACAATCTATCGCAGCCTCGGCTGTAAACTCAAAACACTCAGCGAACACCAACTATCCAGTCGTGGACTTTCGGATACGTTGGGTGATACTAAATTCGCGGTGCTCACTGCCCCTGTGCAGTTCCCCAATGTGAGGACGCGGAGGGCGAAACGGACTTGAAGTTGAGGGGTGTGGAGTGGGCAGCGGGAGTTTTGGGGAGGAAGGGTGGGGGGTTGAAAAGGTTTTTTCGTACCGTAAGTAGCGTATAGCCTATAGGATGTTCGGTCTGTAGTGTCGAATATCCTGTATACCTAGATTAGCTGGAAGTGGAGGAAGTGTATTTCGGGGCTGATCAGAAAGACCTCGATAGGTCAACCAAAATATCCGAAGATTACAAATCCGATATGGTGTAGTGGCTAACATTATCGCCTCTCATATTTGTAAATTTTGGAATGAAGCGCGATAGCCCGGGGTTCGATTCCCCGTGTCGGAAATGATATAAGCAAATGCTGATGGTCTTTTTTGCTCTCCTTTTCTGATTTCATTGATAAATTTCGTGAAGACTTTTTAATGTAGCGATACAACTTGAAGCCTGAGATTCATCATTCGTGCAATGAGCATTTATCGATATTAATCGCTTAAATAGCCGGTGCTTCTTGACATGTTTCAGCTTCGTCCACATCCGAGATTGCTAAAAGCTTTTATCTAGTCGGCCGCCATCAAACTTATCCTATATAAGACGGAATGAAGAAGTCCAATTGTTTCAATTGCAACCGCTGGTCGGTCAGTTGTAGTCACTGTTAAAAGTCCCAAGGATATCCAGTTCCAGTCGCAGAGCAATCTCCTTGATTCTTCTTTCGCATTCTCAAAGTGCAGCTTACTGTAACAAAAACCATGCGACTGCTTCGCGCCGCTTATACCGCCTTGATTTTTGGAGCTTCTCTTGCTCTCGCAGGACCTGTTTCGATTCCGGTGAGTTTCACAGGTTTTAACTTGAAGACTAAGCTCAAATGCTTGTTTTTAGGCATCAGAAGGCAGCAGCCGGGAAACGAATTCTACCTCCGCTCGCCGAGGAGAGGTAGATTCTTCCCACTTGAACACCCGCGCAGGAACGACGTCCAAAGCTATCACTCCCTCCATCGTCTTTCACACCGATCACAGCCCACTCACCTTCCTCAAGGACCAGGAACGAGGCGACAAAGCCCGAGGGATGGTCACGAAAACGTTGAGCCTTTTGAAATCCGTAGAGAAGAGTGATCCAATCGAAGCCGTTGACTCGAAACACTGTAAAAACATGGCAAATTGGGAACAAAAACAGAATCAAAAGGTTATTAGGTTTACGATTAAGCTTCCGGGGACGTGGCCGAAGGCTCCTTCGGGTTTGAAGGATAAGATGAAAAAGTCGGTTACTTATGTGGGTACTGTGATGGTTAGGAATGATTTGCAGGAGATGAAGGTGGATGACTGGAATAGGTTTTCTGGGTATATGACTGATGAGGAGGGAAAGAAGTTGATATTTGAGGTGAAGTATGGTGAGGTGGTGGGAGAGACAGTCAGTTCGGATTACCTTGTTTTTTGTTTTGACTGGTTTTTCTTATGCGCCGTTTCGTGCTCCTAGAATGTTCCTTTTGATCCCAAAAAGAAATATGGGGAGGTCGAAGGCGTACAGAATCAAGTGCCAATCCCCGGTATCGTTGTCAGTCAACATTAAGGCGTTTTATTAGATAGCGGTGCAGTCTTCTTCGTGATGGCTAAAATGTGGCTCCATCAACTAATCGTCAGTTCACACTGGATCTCTGTATTTCTGCAAGGCATCGCCAATAAATTGCCGGACGATATATACGACGACTTTTCTACTGTGCGGAAGCCAGAACGAGTATACGCAACACGAGGGACTCGCCCTCCAAATTGGTAAACATATCCGGAAAGATGCTTCGAGTCAGGGTGTGAGACAAGTTACTTTCCTGTCATTGGAGTAATCGCTCAATGCGACGGCGGAGACTCCGGAACAGGTTTGCGAGAGGCTGGTAAAGGCAAGTAAATAGAGTATATTCCAGTTTACCAACTTGGAGCTATGGATGATTGTGGGTTCAGTCCGTTTAGCGATGATGTTAAACCGAAGCACGGGGACATCCTGAATCCTGATTTTGCGAGGGATGTTGCGATTAACAAGATGGTGACTCGAGTCAAAGGGGCAAAGATGGCGACTGAGAGGCCGAACGTATAAATATATTTTATTTGAGTTCTTGGTCGAAATGCAAAGTATGTACTGTATGTACGCTTTTCTCCCTTATATAACCCAAGATTAATCCCCCTCAAGCATCCAGAATTCTGGTGCTTTTGTTATTCCTGCGTATTTCTGATATCCTTTAAATGGTCCCATTAACATTGTTATCACGCATTTACGACCTCAGAGTTTCACAGCTATTTGCGTATTTGTAGCATAATTTTCAAAAGAAGCACCTTAGTGATCGCGTTTACACACAAACCACTAATTCATTGCTTCACGAGAATGCCACCAAATGTACAGTTGTTAGTGCAGATACCTCGGAAACGATAAATGTACTTACAAGATGGGTTCATATTTCATTTTGTGACCCTTGTCGAATTGCAGAGTAACTGTATATGCGTTGAGTTTGCGGGATTTATTGCGGTATACATAAACTGTGCCAGCGCGCATAAACAGCGCAACAAAGTGAGAAATTCGAATTTCCTCAACCCTTGACTGCCGGCCGGATGACACTCTCGTATAAAAGGGTAATAAGAAGAGAAAATCCTCGACCGCTGGTCGGACGATCATTCCAGCACATACTAGTTGTGGCATTATTCCTCCTCGACTTTCCTATCATTCATCCATCGAAACCATGCACCTTCCTTCTAGTTCCACCTTCTTCAGAGCGTACTTTATTTTGGTTCTTGGAGTCACCCTCACTCTCGCAGGGCCTCTTCGTGTTCCGGTAAGTGTCACGGATTATATGATGAAGTTAGAATCGAGTTCTTTCGGTAGGCTCTGGGACGTGACAGAGGTCGGAGCCGCGACCTCCAGGCAAAATCTGTCTCGACCCAGCTGGAATCTCGAAATCCCAAACCCATGAAGATCCCGATTGAATTCACAAGTAGTCAAGCCATTGAAGATGAAGTGTCACGGGAAAAGGCTCGAGCAGTGGTTCAAAAAATGATGAAGCACCTGTATTCCGCATCCGGCGGGAGCTCAGAGGCGCCTTTTGAGCTTAAACTCAAAGGTCAGCCAAAATGGTACTCCGCAAAGGGAAGAAAGAGCATCCGGTTTCAGGCGCAGGTGCCGAATACGTGGCCCAAGCCGTATTCTCTGGGCAAGAAACTGACCCTACCGCTGCCGCTTTATTACAAGGGCACTGTATATATATGGGAGGACAAAGACCAGCTGGACTGGGATGAATTTTCTGGGTTTATGACTGACGAGTATGAGAAGAGGCTGGTGTTTGAAGCACGTAAGGGAGGAATTGTGGGGGAGACGGTGGGTGATTTGTGTGCTTGCTACTTTCGTGTCTTATGACGCCTCCTGTTCTACAGAATGTTCAATATGACGAGGAAAAGACCTACGGGGATCGGGCTGGGAAGGGGAAAGGGAAAGAGTCCGCATCGAAGTAACAACATTGATACCAGTAGATCGTTGATAAAGTATACTTGAACGAGGAAGTTCTTCCATGCCCACGATAGTTTGCAGTGCTCGTTCGTTATTGAGCAACAAGATATTGATCGCTTTGACCGTTCCCGAAACGGCAATTTTGCTTACGTGCTCTCCTCTCTCTTACCACCATCATGGCGATACCTGATCCACCCACATTCTACTACTCTCGCAGGGCGCCCGACCTCTCTGACGTGTTCTTCAAGGATGTTCACGAGCTGTATCGCCGAAACGCTGAGACCGTCGCCCCTCTGATTGACTCCATCTGCATTGAGCGCAAAATTACAGTGACGAATTCGCTCGTTTTCGCGGGAAGTTTGAGGATGCAAGGAACGACAAGGAATATTCTAAACGAAGAATGCAGTGTGATATCGTTTCACGATGTGATGGTACGTTTCCGTATTATCAGCTAATGCGAATTTGAAGCTTGATATAGGATGTTCTCGCTATTCTAGAACTGTACCGCCGCATCAAGTTCAGAGTTTGTTCTCGCTAAAATCTCTTCTCAGCTGAGCTGGGATGAATTCTTGTCCTTGGCCGGAAAACACGATAGTGTTCTCAGCAGTTTGTTGTTAGAAAAAATATGCCGCGCCTTGGTGTTAGGAACAGGCGATGTGTGCGAGAAATGGTGAGTCATTACTTTTGAAATGCCCTGCTCCCAAAATGTCCTGACTACATAATTCAAGTGAAAAACTCAACAACCTGCCGACGATCGTAGAAGCCGACGTCAATACTGTGCTCGTCCGCACACCCCAAGCATCAGCATGTGCATCTGATACCACCCCGAACGCAGTTGCAGATGGAAATGAACCGCAAGGGCCGATATCAGAAGAGGATACAGTTCAAAATAATGTCGAGTCCTCGAATACTGCCATTAGTCGCCAACAAGTTTCTGATTCCAATGCTACTGGATCTGTCATTACAGCCTCAAGGTCGCGTAATCTTACGGATTCACGTCAAGTGCGGTTTTTGAATTTATTTGACTTCTCTTTCTTACCTTTTACGTTTCCAAGAAACGAGCTCTGTATCTGTTTGACGAGAACACACCTCCGCGAAAGACTCTTTCAAACAAAACACAACACAGAAGATTTGCTTCCATGCCTTTACAGAGGCTGCCCTCAAATTCTACGTACGTTCTCTCATTCTACTCGTTTACCGCTGATGAATACCAAATTTCATCATAGTTTGATTGACGATGATGTTTTCTGCTCGGTTTCTCCCATCAACAGCCCTCGCGCCAGGAACAATTTTAACGCCCGCTCATCCGTCAATTCCGGAAAAGCAAGCCTCAACGGTGCAGCATTCTCGCCGCTTCCTAAGGTCGATTTTGATGAGCTTCGCAAGGCATCGGGCTTTCATCTCTCTTCCGAACATGGAACTTCCTCGGCTGGCTCGGTCAAGTCCTCGCGTTCTTTGATCCTGATCTCGCGCAATGCTCATACTGAGGATTCGGCAAATGGAAGCAAGCTACACAATCCCGCAATCTTCGATGGTCTGGAATCTCGCAAGTCTCGTTCTTCGACTCCGAAAAGGTTGGATTGTCCTTCCTCACCCTGTATCAAAGGAGTTTCTCGATCTCGCTCTGCAAGTTTCAAGTTTCTTCAGAATCTGTAGCTCCTTCTCCTAACCTTGTGCCATATACGTACATACGGTTCGCACTACCCTAATCATGCGGACTATCTCCACCGCTTTTTCCTGGATTCTCTCGATGTGCTGTTGTCTTGATCATGTAACTTGATCTTTCAATTCTATACTCGTAAATGAATCAGATGTAATCGAACTTGTCAGGTTTCTTGTCTGCGTTGCTGTCGTCATTGAACATTTCC